AGTCACACATAAGTTACTACGATGGCGTAACACTGTGCATAACCACACACTGCGTACTGCTCTACCACTGTGTGCATTGTGCAGATGAGGGATGACTTCAGTTATTCAGGGAGCTAATCAGGCTTTCATGATGAAACCCCGGCAGCGCGCTGCTGCGGAGGTCAGGGTGACGCAGTGATGTCACGCGTGTGGTTTCATTATACCTGCTGCTCCTCGGTGCTGATTAATCGACTGTAAGACAGCAGCAACATGTATTTACAGGTTTGGAATTAAAACCTCATCCATCCTGTTAAATACTAAGTGGTTTGATGTGGAGGAGTGCTCGCTGTTGTGAACGGGGCCGCCGTTAATCGAGGTTACCGTAACATGGTTAACAACTTTTTCACTGATTGGAAAAATTAATGAAGCGAGCGGCGTTCGCACGCGCTCGCTGTCGTGTGAACGATGGCTGCCTTCTTTCACAAAGCACGGCGCAGCGCTGCACAGCCGACTGTGAAACCGTGAAACTTAAATATGCGACCGCGCTGCTGTCGACGAACCGTTTTCACTCTTTCTCAAAGCGACTGTCGAGCGGAGGGTCGACAGGAAGTTCCATCAGACATAAAAACACTGCCCGCGGTGTGCAGCGGCCATGTTTCCCACTGTGCAGCATCACAACCATAAACATCTGGGAACTGAGGCGAGCAGCTGGATTTTTGGGACCGTTGTCCCGTTCCCGTCTGGTTGGGTCTTCTTCGTCATATTCCTCATTTTGTTGGCCAGGTCAGCACCGAACTCTTCCAATATGAAGCCGTGCTGCTGGATTAGACGCCGTCTGTGGTTCAGCGTCACGCTGCTCTATGAGCCAAATAAACGGTTCAGGAGCCTGTCCAGATGTGTAAGCTGTCAGATCCACTGATGCTGATGCTAAACAAGGCGTCCCTGGACTATGTGTACGACTTCTCTGCATCATGCAGCCTGGTGCAGAGTTCCTGCGCTCGGGCACTGATTCCATCACACAATCAGCTGAAGGCTTCAACATCCTGGACATGCAGCTCTGATTATCAGTCTTTTCTCTTCTGATGACATCATCAACTATGTTGAGGGAAATTATTTTGAAATCTTTCCATAGTCAGTTTGTAGTTTTGGTTTTAATCTTTACTTTTGTTAAACTCTGCCTCTCCGATGCTCTTTCTTACCCACTCGTGTTGCTGACCTGCTGCCAGTCAGAAGGTTTCCCTCCAGCCGTTTCTTCTTAGCTCCGCCTACTTTTTCCATCCTGTTTTATAGAGACGTGTTGCTGCAATCAAATCCAAAGTCAGCCATGTCTCTCTTAAAGCATGTGTCCAGGTTACACATCGGATATTTTTTGCGCTCTGTTTGTGTTTTGTTTTTAACATTTTACCCAGAACCGGGTTGTGTAACACTACTTGGTATATATATCCAGCATATCCAGGCTCTGGCAGTACAGACATGAAGTCCTGACAGAAGAGCTAAAACAGGAAAAAGTCAACAGGAAATAAAAAACCTGCCGTCTGCCGCCGTAACAAGAAAAGGAAAAAGTGCAGCGCAAACATGAAAACTGTGCAGGAAATGAGCGAGCACATTACTTTTCTGGCATTTACTCAGCCGTCCGTAGCCTTCGTGGACACAGACGAGGGAAACACTTCAGAAACAGCGAAGGTTCGAAAAGAAAATCTCTGATGATGTTTGGAAGCTTTATAATGTGTAAAAATGTGATTTATAATAACAAGTAAAGACAAACTCAGATCAGGACGGACTGACTGATGCACCACAGAGCAGGTAAATTACGTTTTTCTTCAATAAACACATTTTGATCGTTCTGCAGCGTCCTACACGACGGACCAGCGAGGAGTCACTCCGCTGTTCGACTCGATCGTCTGAGGCAAAGACTCCACGTCAGCCAGTGGACAGTTTGGGAAATATGAAGGCCATCAGATTTGGACTGAACTGTGTTTTCACGAGTTTCACAGTTTTTCGTTTCGCCGTGTTCGTTCATGCTACACTCGTCACTTTAAGTAACAAGTTACTAACTGAAACCTTCTGATGATGCAGTTAAACAAAGTTTCCTGCAAACAAGCCTTTCATTTACAGTTCAAGTCTACAGTTTCATTGCACGTGTACAATAAATACGAATAAAGGGCTGTTCTATTCTAATTTACTTTTTCCTGCAGATGAAATCATGCTCTTCTTTTTCTTGTTCTGAGATATTCCCAGTATCAAACCTCTTTAGAAAACGCTCTGGTTGCCATGGCAAAATGTGTGTTTAGCCAGGTGGCAACTAGTTGCAGACTGCTGCTGGATGAAATCGGTGACAAAGAGCGGTCGCCGCGGTCGCCTGTAGTTTACCTCGAAGACGCCAACGAGACTGAAAAGACGGATCAAGCTAAACCAGAAACAGTTCGCCTTCAAAGTAAAAGTTCTGGCATTGTAACCAACAGGGTTCAAAGGCTTCCACTTTTACTTTGGAGGCGAACTCTTTCTGTTTCCAGTCTGCAAGTTTGATGTTTTACATTCAAATATGGCAGCAACACTCAGTGATTGGCTGGCTCGGGCTGCTTCATCTTTCTGAGCTCCACCTCTGCGCGGCTTGTTTCAGCACATGCATAATGACAGCTGCTGAGACGGCCTCACAAAATCATAAAGTTTCTGTGGATATTCATATTTTCTTAATTCATTGGTGCAGATGTGTGCTCTAATGACAAATATCACATTCTGATAAATGTGAAACGCTTTAAAGCAACGAGCGCTCCATCATTAAACTACGCAGTCGTGCGTTTCAGGCAAAGAGACATATGTTGGACGGGTGTTGATTGGCTCTTTGAGGAAGGGGCGGGACCACAGATCTCTATCAAACAGACTTTGAATGTTTCTTCTTTGTAATGTCTCCGACTCCTTTAACTTCCTGCTTTGGTTTTCCTTAAATTACAAAAGTGGATTTTAAAGGGCAACGCTCCAGTTTGACTCTAAATATAATTTCAACCAAATACATCAGACGGCAGCCGGTTTATGTTTGACTGTCAGTTTTAATTTTTCACTTTTTTAGACCCTTTTCTGCAGATGACAGGTGCCTCTGTAGAGGAGCTACGAATCAGGCCGATGAGTCACCGCAGTCGCTAAATCCAAACGCACGTTTTCTCTTTAAACTGCTCTTTCTCTGCTTTCCATCCTATAAAGAGCTGATTGTGTTTTTCCTGCCAGCTCAGCAGCAGCAGATGAAGCCAGCTGACATTCATATCTGTGTCATTACAGAGAGCGCCGCTATCAGACGCCGGTCGTGTAGCGGCAACATTAACAGCAGGCCGGAGGACACCCTGCAGCACTGTATGCAACTCTGAAAATAACCCAGAGTGGGCTGTAATGAGCTGTAGCGCCTTTAATGTGAGTCACTGATACATGTGCCTGTTATGGGCTTTTTGCACTTTTGCTACTATAATAAACCTTTTGTTACCAACAAAGCGACTCTTATGCTGTCTCCTGCACAAACATGTCGCTACAAAACCTGAACAGATTTCCTTCCTGGAGGCTTATGTAGCGATCAGGCGTAGATTGCCCTGAAGGTGTGCTGTGGTATCACCAACATGTTAGCAGTATGTCCTTTAAGTCCTCTAAGCTGCGAGGCGGGCCTCCATGGATCGGACTCGTTCGAGCTACAGCAGCTCGCCTTCGATCTCTACGTGCATCAGTGAGCCTGCAGACCAGAAACAACTAGAAGAGCTGCAGTCCTGGAGACGCTCTGACCCAGTCGTGCCTGTCTGATGGGGGTAATAACTAGCGACCAGCTGTATGTGGAGTTTGCATGTTACCCTCTAATCTTGCGCATCGTCAGCAACACTGAAAAACACGCCGTCATGACTCAGGAGCAAAGACTGTATATAAAGGCGGACATCGCCACGATGCAACACTCGTGACAGTCGCACTGATTCCTGTTCGTTGGGTTAAATTTCCTTCATTGCTCAAAGATCAACGCGCGTCAGGTTAACGCTCCACCTGAAGAGTCTCACCAATGAAAACAGAATAAATGACAATTAAATGAAAGGAATAAACAGAGTTCATTTAAGGTCGTACAGCCGTTAGTCGCTCTTCTAGGAGTAAAAAAAACACCAGTGGTTAGTTTTCACCATCCTGGATAAAGCGAAGCAGCGCCTCAGTTTCCAAACCTGACGGATGCAGGTGTGTTTCCCTTCCATCACATCAGCAGTTGTTTCCTCTTCTCCAACTTCAAACTTCAGCACAGAAGCTGCACGTCCAGCCCCAGCAGGGCCCAGGTGCCAAAGCTCAGTCTGAGCATTTAATGTAGGAATCCCCACGTTTAATGAAGCAGAGCCTTCGTGAGGATATGAAAAACGCAGGCTGGGAGGGGCGGGCACCAACCGCAGCGCTCCGCTACGGCCAACACAACGGCCGATGACGCTGAACTCCACCAACGGCGCTCCTCTGTGCGCCACAGGCTAACGCCGCTCTGAACAAAAACACGCCGCAGCGACACCGTCGGACGGGTTTGTGGAGTGGATGTTTGTCTGAAGCCATTTCCACAAGTTTAACCCCAGAAACGTGTGTGTGCATGTTTAGACATCTTTGTGAGGACAGAAAATTAGCATGAGTTTCCAGACATTTCTGAGACTCAAACTGTGGTTTTAGTCTCAGGCGTACAGCTGGGGGATGGTTAGGTTTAGGCTCAGGGTTCATTTTGATGGGTTGGGGTCGGGGCACCTAGTGAAACCATTATGTCAGTGAGACGTCCTCACTGAGATTTGGAAACCAGTGTGTGTGTGTCAGACAGGGTGGATTATCTGGTTCCACTTCCCCAAAAACACACGTGACACAAACACATGAAGAACTGTGTTTTGCTCTTTACTGAACACAGCGACGTGCTGGAGAATAATCAAAAATGGAATATTTTAGCTTTATTTGTTCCTCCCCCAGGAGGAAAACGTCTTCCGAGATCCGACACACACTCGGGCGACGTCGACTGCTCATCTGTTAAAGTGTGAACTCACCCTCTTGATGTCCTTGCCGAAGGTCTCGCTGAAGCTCGAGCCGAGGATCTCAAACTGGACGTGGGAGTTGGAGCCGTTGTCCTTAAAGTCCATCGTACCCGTCAGACCTGTGATATTTCCCTGAAGAGGAGGGTGGCAGACAGAGAGGAGAGAGTTTAGAAGTCACGCAGGATGATCTGTGCTCGCCGTGACGATCTTTGACTCGAGCTGCTACCTTCTTTACCTGCTGCCTGATTATATTTGGTTATTTCAGGAACAGTTTGTAATCCGTGTTCAAACGAGACACGAGCTGAGAATGACAACTTCCTGTGCTATTGATGGATTTATGCTCCAGAAATCTGTCAGTTTACCTGAACAACGACACAGGCAGCAGCCGTGCTTTTATACACCAATGGCAACCAGTTGAGTCGTCTATATCAAAGACGTGTTTCAGATGAGTGGCCCCTGATTTCTCATGGAGAGATTGACAGTCATAGCATCAACATAGGGACTCATAATTGTCGGCAAAGTCTTGGAGGGCGTTTGTGGACACTGGGAATGTGAAAAGAAGTGGAAAAACTTGAGGGACAAATATGTTTCCCCCCTGAAAACACTGACGAGGAACCAGGACAAAGTCCCAGAACTTTATTTGTTTCTCTCACTAAACAGGATGTAGAACATGCGGTCGTTTCCACCAGCACGAGCATAAATCCCACCGACCACCACAGCTATGCTGCTGTGTTGTAGGAGCTCCAAAGACCTCCGTCAGGAGTCTGAATCCGGCCTCAGGCCTCTTTTGTACTGGGAGCCTCGCAGCAGCGTGTATCAGCACCCATGCCAGGGGATAGATGCAGCAATACTACGGCCGTACACGTCTATGTTAAATATCAACACATGAGATTTGTTTTCACTTTTGAAGACAAATCCTAAAAGCCCCTCCTGACTGAAATAATGAAAAACACGAGTCAAGACGACTCTTTCAAATGAGGATAACGTGTATGAGACGGGAGCATAACCCTGACCCCCGTCCCAGCAATCAGGCAGATGTTAACAGGTTAAAGGGGCAAGAAGAAAGGACCAGGTGACCTCTGAAACACCTGCTGCTACACTTCCTGCATCTTTAACACCGACACCGAAAATGTGACGAACGCAGAGATCCCAGGGTGCAGTGGGAGCCAATAAATATAGACCTAAATATTTGATGACCATCTTTATCAGGTCTGGCTGCTCTGCAGAACGATGAGGCGCCATATAGAACATCATCAGAGTCTGACTGAATGAGTTCAGCCCGTGACTGCTGTGCCGCTGCCACGAAAGGCCGCGGATGAAATGTCACTTCATGACTTCCATCAGTTCGTGTTGGATGTAAAGCATGACTGAAGACGGTCATCACAGCGGGCCGGCAAACTAAATGTTCCTCTGTCAGCAGCAAAGGTCGCGTTCGTCGTCACCTGGAGGAAATTAATGTTTGAAAATGTTTGGCTCTTTCAAAGATGTGTCCGAGTGAACGCATTCAACACACACCTGCCAGAGGAGGGACGGCGCTTTTCACGTCTTCGGATACGCGTGACATAAAAAGTTCTCGGCTTCTGCCATTTTTCACTCAGCGAATGTCGTCCTGTCTTTAAGTTATCGTCCATTTCATCAGCAAAGTAGCCCAGACTCGTCAGGGGGTAATGACCAACTCTGAGGTGAGACGCAGCAAAAGTGCGTCCATACCAATCAAACTGACAAACGACCGCCTGGAGCACGAAACAGGAGCTTCGAGGTTGGACGGGCAACGTCAGAAAGGGCGTGTTTGAGATGGAACAAGACCGAATGAATGTCTCCATCGCTAACCAGCTGGAATAATGGCTGCGGCAGTTTGAGGATTGTACAGCTCACATTCAGATTCATTACACTTGATAGATGCTGCAGGTGCAGCTCACGTTTGTTATTTCCAGAGCAGTTTGTGAAACGTTAAACGCAGCAACCTTGACCTCCGAGCGATGCCGGTCCAGTGCAGAGGCAGGACAGTTGGTCGTGTGAGGAGTCACAGCCTCATCAGCTCGGAGGTGAGGCTCCTCCCCCTCATCGGACGAGCTGCTGTTTTCGGCAGCTTTTTGGTATGAAATGAGAATTTTAAGCGGCCGCGTGCTCTGTCTGGCTCGTCCGCATATAAAGATGACTGCAGGAGTAATAATCCTTTGGTGGAACTCTGGATATTTCTGTCAATATCATTCAAAAACATGATGCTTTATGACTTTCCTACAGGAATCTGTAGGAAAGGAGCGCTAATGAGCTCGGCGGTGGTTACTCTGATGCGTGTCAGAAAAGCAGACTCGTGTTTTAATAAAACACAACCGCGCGTGCTGGAGGGACTCATCAGCCCAGCCAAAGAGCATCTCTCTCCAATTAGACTGTGAGGACTGACTCCAGGTTGCTGCGCGCAATTTCACTGCATCTTTGATGTGCGATTGATTTTCTGTTAACAAAGCAGCTGTTTATTCTTTTATTTTGAAAATTGTACAAATCAAATGCTGGCCTCGACTTTCTTTAAATAAATAACAGTTCTGAGAAAACTTTACTATTTTGAACCAAACTGAATGAGAGGCTGTGCAGATAAAACGTCTTATTTGCACAGTTTTTGTAATGAAAGAAATTCTTCCATCGTAAGTTTGATATCAGGGCTTAAACCAGCGGGCATGTTTTGGTCTGCTCTACTCTGGATGGGTTTTACCTTCTGGATGGTCTCCAGCATGGACCAGCCTCCGTTCCAGGGCTTGGTGGACTTCTTGATGCAGTTCAGGCTGGCCATGCTGTGCCACTTCCTGTCCTCCAGCTTCCTGTAGAAGGCGTTGGCAAGCATCAGCACGCTGTCGTACAGGTACAGGTTGGACACCTGAAGGCGAGACACGGGCAGGATGAATACACGTGATCGCTTTTTCTTTCGATCAGTTTTTCACTGACTGTTACGTAACATCTGTCGAACGTGACGCTTGAAACAAACGTAACGTCACATCTGCAGGGCGATGAAGAATATAGATGCTAATATTTACTGTATGTGTTTACAGAATTTTCTCTCTGGATCTCGAGAATGAAATCGTAGGTTTCTGCGGCTGAACACGTGAACGGGAGATGTGACGTGATTGGTGGAAGGAAGAGGACATTTATGAACATCTGCAAACACTGAGCACGTGTGACACAGCTGGATGCTGACACACACACACCCTACTTTTATTCTACTCTGTAATGTAAAATTATCATTATTTTAACTTTCGTGATCAGCTGCATGTTTTGTTCTGTCGGTCCGGTGAACGATCACGTGAAGATTTCATCCCCCTGTGATGGGAAACAACATCAAAATTTCTGGATCAGACAATTAATAAAGTCGTTGTTACATCTTATGGCTCCTGTCTCTTGCATGTGGTTAGTGTTACATTTCACAAGCACCCTCACATCATCTGTGACAGCTGACCTCTGTTACATGAAGCCTGCAGCACGTGTCCATGTGTCACTGACGCACACATCAGTGTACAGCACACACCTGCGGCGACCTGCTGTGAGGCTCCTGCTTGTTTGTTGGCTTTCTTCCCCAACATGTAGCACCTACGTTCAGCTGTGCTTTCCTCAGTCGCTCTCTGATCCTCAGAGTTGCTCCTGTTGCACTTTATTCACGTCTGCACGAGTAGTTTGTGCCCAGAGGTCACAGAAAGCGGGCATGGACGTCCACCTGGAGCCTGATGATGAACTGTATGTCGCTCAGATCTTTCTTTGGTTTGCTCCTCTGCCTGCTGTGTGCTGAGCCCAGTTTACCCAGTAAAAGCCCTGTGAGTGCTTATTAAGGCTCGACTCCCGCTTATATTCACTGCATTGACCTGAGCCTGACTGAAATATAGATTAAGATGCTCTCACCCTGGTTGCATTGTACAGGTGTAACCCAAATGTCTCCTACTCTTCACTTTATCCTGATGGGATTCTTTGAAAACATACTCATCCTTCCTGTGCAGCACCAAAGAACATTTAACCCTCTCTTACACAAATTACTGAGACACCTCCCTCTGAGTGAACGCACAGCGAAGCCGGCAGAAGCCAAGAAGAAGAAAGTCACAGCTGAGGAGGGACTGAAGCGGAGCATGGGATGGAGACGAGACTGCTTATTAAGTTTAAAATGAGAGAAAATCAGCCTGAAAGGATGGAGAGGAAGACGAAAAGGGAACAGGAGAGGAAACAGGTGAGGACAAGGACACAGTGAAGAAAATACGACGGCGCACGCAAATGTACAGAAACAGGAAGATAATCTTCAGAATAAAAGGAAAAATTTATAATCAAAAAAGACAAGAACAAGGTGAAGGAGGAAATGAAGGTTTAAAAGATGAGAGAACGACACCGAGAGAAAGACAGGAGACCGAGAGCGTGACCTCTGCGGGCCGCCGCCGCCGTCGGACGTTTGGTGAAAACTACAATCATCTCCACAAATGTCAAAATCAGGCAGAGAAAGACAGCATTTGTCCTGAATTACAGTAATTGTTCTGTTTGCTGTCTGTAAATGTCAGCGGTGCTTCTTCACACCTGGGAATAATAGTCAGTTACTGTGTGTGCGTTCGAGCTGGCACAGAGGTTATTGTGCGCCCTCTGCATGTCAGCGAGATAAACTTGAATTTGATGGCTTATTCTTCACCAGGCAAACTGGCGTGTAAACTGAGAGGCGGGGAAGCGGCTCGGCTTTCGTACACGATTCATACGTGAGAAAAAACGACAGCTCCACGAGGCTTTTAACTGCGAGTAGTTTGAACGTGAGCAGCGGCCTTTGTGAGCCGTGTCCTGGTGAACTTTTACTGTGATCTGACGTCCATAAACCAGAAAGCCCAGAGTTTGTCGCGTGTCTGCGTCCCCTTGTTGTCCACAAGCTGTCCTTTGGCATCACTGGTGCTGTGGATGTGGCGGTAGCGGCCACTGAGATGTAACGGACACGTTTAACAGGCACACGTGGTCCTCAGGGGGAGGTTGGAGGGCCAAATGCTGCCTTCTGATCATAAGTTTTTCCTTTGCTGGTAACCATCAGTTCTAATCACTGGTTAGGTTTACGTACCAAAGACAAAATAAATGTAAACTTCATTTATCTCAACTCTTCGGGAACGGCTTGTTTGGGGTCAGGCGCTGAGGCTACGTTCACACGTACACGGGTATTTTTGAAAACTGAGATTTTCCATTTTCATTTTTTAAAAGAAGTTTCGAAAAAATATCTCCGTCCACATGTAAACGCCAAAATCAAACGCTGTCAAGGACACGCCAAATCCTAACCGTGTCGAAGTGTTGGCCAATCAGGAGTCCAGACGCCTGGAACGCGTAAACAGGTACAAGTTTTTGTGTTGTTCTGCAAAGGCAGCGAATTTTGCTTCTCAAGTGTCTTCATCATTTCAGGCGTTAAGAACTAAAGACAGTATTTTAGTGGCTCTGTTGGCCTGAACACTTTACGTTAGTCTGAGTAATAATCATAACTCACAGACTCACAACTTAGGAACAGACAACGTACATGCACATACATACATTTAATGTAAATCGCCAGGGTCGGGTTAGACCTCTTAGGGTTATGGAAAGATGATGGTGTGGGTGAGTATATGCCTATTAACAACAGTAACCTTGACGACATGTGAGTGACTGTTGCATCATAACCCATCATGATGCCAAAGGACACCTTAATGCATAAATTAGCCACACCAGAGGTTTGACAGAGCAGGGCTGAGCGACTCCCCGGGGATCACAATAGGCATTCATGTCCTTGCCTCGAGGTATGTGGAGTACATGGGTCCGTTACACAAAAATCAATCAAAAGATCTCAATATTTAAAGTCCTGCACGTGACTGTAAAGTAAGAACTTTAGTTTCTCAGTAGTAGATATTCTGTGTTTGTCCACAGAGTCGACACCAACTGTGGTTTTCTGCAACAACAATAACAAAACTCGAGGTCGTTTGGGAGAAGGATGATGAAGATGGAGCTAGTGAACAAGGGGAAAAGGAGACGGCCCACGGGAGGTGTGTGGCGAGAGAGGACATGCAGGTGTTTGACCGGACAGAGAAAGAGTCAGAGGACAGGACGTGATGGAAACAGATGGTCTGTGATGTCCTCGTGGCTGTTCTGGGTCGTCAGCGAGTCTCTGGTAGTGAACTCTGTCTAAAAGTTTGTGTCCTCATTTAACATTAAGCTGATGTTTGGATGCTGGAAGCTGATCTGACAGCTCTGGTACACTCGGTGCGTGTGCACAGTATTTGAGTGGGCGGCTGAATTTTATGAATGCGCTCATGAATTTATGGATGTGCATCAGTGATTTGTGCAGCAGAAAAAAGTTTCAACACCACAAGTTAAGACAGGCCGTGTGCGTGTATTCGCCCGGGTCGCCATCACAAAACAGGACGTACGACAAGTGGAGAGAAGAGTTTGACCGAGGAGGTCTAGAAGACAGGAAACTGATTTTGCCTCTCATCACATTTCTCTTTTTCACTTAACTGAATAATTTGCACCCATAATTACTCATCCCATCAGATTAATAATTAGTCCCTTTGAATTACTGCTTCATACCCTCAGACATTTTAATTCATTCTCTGAAGCATTCATTCATTCAGCACTCTCATTATGGAGCCTTTGATGAGCGAAACACATCTATGTGAATCTTCATGTTTGAAACACATCTCTGTGGTATTTTTGCCGTTGTGTGATGAAGGTCTTTGTGTCCTCCGGAGGACAAAAGGCTGAGGACAGATGGAGCCATGTGAAAGGAAAAAAATGGAGACAAATTCCTCAGAATAAATTAAACACTGACCACACAAACTGTTTGAAAACACAAATTCCTAAATTATAATGACTTATCCAAAGTGTTCCTCCACACAGAACCTGGACTCCAGTGGATTTTTCAGTGTTTATTCCCACTATTTTTTAAAGTATCCTAACAGGGAAAAGTGCATTACATGTTGCAGAGGTACCACTTTGCATCAGCTCAGGTCTAAGGCTACGTTCACACTGCAGGCGAAAGCGCATCAAATCCGATTTTTCTGACCCTGTGTGACCATCTATCCGATCATGGTGTGACAGTGTGAACGGCACAAATCCGATATTTTCAAATCCGATCTGGGTCACTTTCGTATGTGGTCCTGAATCCGATACATATCTGATGTTTTAGAAAGCGACTGCTGTTTGATGGTCGCATTAAATCCGTCTTTTACGTCACTGACACAAGACAGACGCCGATTATCAGCGCCGGAGAAGACATCGCGAACGCTTCCTGTCCATCCAGTGAAACTGTTGGGAAGACAACGGGAACATTTTATTTGTTCTGTATAATCTGCAGATTCTGACAGAAATCTGCAGCTATCCTTTGAAGCAGCGCTCCTCTAAAACAGCAATAAGGATCATTATTAGGTTATTTACATTATTATGTCAATAACAAAATAACTTAAAGCAAAAATTGGGAAACATGAAGTCCGAAGTCTTTATATTAAGGCCATTAGTCAAACAATACTGTTGCTCTGGGTCTAAACAGAGCGCGCTGTGTGTGACGTCTTCTTTTGCGCATGCGGCCGCTTTGAGCGTTCACACTAGAGCGCGTTTGCTGTCGCATTTTATTTGTAGTGTGAACAAGTAGACAAAAACATCGGATTTGATCAAAAACTCAGAATTGAGCATCAAGACCTGCAGAGTGAACGCAGCCTAAGTCATCATCAGTGACCTAATCCTAACTCAAACCCATTCATGCACACTCATCGTGTGCAGGGATGTCAATTAATTCTGGTGATTCTTTCAACTGTTCTTTTGCACAGTGGAAGGATGGTACACCATACGTCTTTAATAAGTTTAAAAAACACAAGTTTGGGTCCCCAATTTATTTGGGATTTTCCCTGATCCACACAGGTATGCATACAGGCTAAAACATACTCAGACACCCAGAAATATTTGGGTAAATGTCCCTTAGCAAGTTGCACCTCAGTCGGATGCTTTCGGTATCCATCACCAAGCTTCTGGCGTAATCCTGCACTCTTCTTGGCAGAATTGAGTTAACTTACACTGGGTGGTTTCCTGGCAGAGACACATCCAGAGAACTTTTACTTACGGTTGTTTGAACCTTGGAATATGCAAACCTTCCAAACTTGTGTAAATGTAAAGTTCTCCTTCTGCAAGCTTCACTGAGTTCCTGAGTCTTGGTCAGTCCAACGAGTGCTGTCAAACAAATCCTTTCTACAGTGCAAAGAGAGACTACCAGCTGATCACTGTGCAAAGGATTTAGGCCTTGGCCTCGTTGGGTTAAAGACATTGCAGAACCTTCAGCACCAGTTATTAAAATATTAAAGCGGGCGTTTGCATGCATATATGTGAGTCTGTGTGGATTAGAGGAAACCCCAAATACACTTGTCCACATTTATAACAGAACTCAGGGAGGCATGACTTTAAAGCTAGCACTACTTTCTGCCATAGCACAACCTTTACTGCACACTGAGCTGAATTTTTGTTACCTCCAGGTTCTGCAGGTGTCCTTCCTGCGGGTCACACAGCAGCGAGGAGATCCGGTGGTTCTGCCTCATGCAGCGGGTGCTGCTGTCCTTCAGCAACGGGAAGATCTGCCGGATCACCGTCATGCGCCCCAGTGCACTGTGGGTAAGCTCCAGGATCTCTGTGTCGCTGATTTCCTGTGGCGATGAGACGGCGGGACAAAGCGAAGGAGATGTTATTGACCTCGCTCGGTCTGTTTGTCTGCATATTAACTGCTGGAGGTCGAGTGTTTGTCTCCCGAGAAGCCGGACGAGGGTTTGGTGAGAGGCAGATGCTGATTGTGGCAGATTTCTCGAGTGTTTGTTTTTGAACCCTGCGCCCGATGAACAAAAGTATGTTTATTTCATCTGCCGTGTTAATTAACTGCAGAGAATGTGACGTTTCACGAAGAAAACCAAATGTCAGTGTCAAGCCAAACGGGAAGGACGGTGCACGCCAGCCATTTAAAAGCTTCTTTTGTGCCTAATTGCTTTGACGAGAAGAAAGCCAATTATTTTCTGTGAGGTGTAATTACAGATAGCCTTGGCCGAACTCTAAAAGCATAATTAAAAATATCTATGAAGAATATTAGCTTTATTATGTTTTATAACACCAAACATAATTACAGTCTACATCTTAAGTAAAAGCGAAGGCAGCGAGGACTTGCTGCAGTTTATCTATTAGAAAAGTCCACTTTCTTCTATTTCTGTATGTACGTCGCCTTCATCCAATTAAAAGTGAACCTGTAAACAAAAGTCACGCAGACTTGTTGCTCATTTATTGCACGGGTTTGAAAACATGTCATTCTGTCAGGCCAAAGGGTTTAAAGTCAAAACAAGCTGGATTCCAGGTAATTGCAGCGATGGCATTAGGTTCAGTTTGCTGGCTGAAGCATAGCTCCTCTCCCTCCTGCTGAACACACAAAGACGTACGCGAGCCTCTGTGCTGTCTCCGTACACGGCGTTTCAAAGGTAGACAAAGCCTGAAAGCTGCTTAAACCTGCTTTCTTCCTAGTGGCCACCAGGGGGCGATTACTCCTGCTCCAAAAAACGTGAGCTATGTGACCTATGACCTCGGTTTGGTATTCTTGGGCAATCATGCTGGCATTTACAGCAAACTGGACATGTTTGTGCTCTGGACTGTGGAGATGCTCACAACTGATTAAACCTGTGGAGTTTACCGAAGTACTTTTTATGGCCTAAAGAACAAAAACATTATTACTGAGCTCCTGACACTGCTAATAAAAATCATTATTCCACGGATGTTATTTATTAACGTGCATCCTTCAGTGGAATCAGACTAGTTGAGCCAGGCGTTACAGCCGCCCTCTCTTCGTTCCTGTTTACATCCCAGTCTGGAATAATGTTCCTGAGTAGGTGTGAAGCTTCAGACGATCAGGTTCATTCACTTTGTTTACTTTCATGTCTTTTCTGTACATTTTTGTGCTGGTCTGCAAAAAGCGCTCTCAGTGAAGTCGGCAGGATGATGCTGGACGCGACGATATCGAAATTTCCCCTCAGTCTGTTTGAGCTAAATGTGATGAATAAAGTCAGATATTTGGGTCACATCATCAGGAATTATCCGCCTGATGATGACCAAGTGCGGCCCCAACAAAGCCCCACTGTGAGCAACAGCAGACGTGTGCACTGTGGTCACGCCAGCATCGAATGCACCCAAGTTACATGTTTATTAAAATAATCTAATTACAGCATTTACATTTATGTTAGACGACTTTTAATTACCTGCTTTAGCTCACTTACAATGAAAATTTAAAAAAAATCTTGTTCCTGTCCTGTGTAGCATGTTAACACTATTGGAAGGAAAAATAACTTGAACTCCAGTTTTGAAAACACAACTTTCTTTTTTTATTTGTATAAAGCTGTGACTGTATTCTGAGTCTGTGGTCTGGGAGAGAGTCTGTAACTCTCTGTCTGCAAAATACAGTAAATAATGACCAATGTTGGGCAATTAATTATATAGTTACTTCTTCAAAAAAGTAACTGAGTTATGGAAACAACAGTTTTTGCAGCTGTTTATCTAAAAATGCAGCCAAGGCGTTTTTTTAATAAACATTTCAAACTATTTACAGAACAATCAGCTGTTCTGCATCAAATCTGATGCCACACAAATTATTTGTGCCGCTCCAAAAAACAATTTCTGTCCACTATGAGATGAAGGAGAACAACAGCCTGATACCTGCAGGCCTGACAGCAGCAGATGTGTCACTGCTGTAACACCTGTAACACTCAGCAGTCGCCTCATTGTTCTGACACACAGCAAAACTACTGACTACACTACACACTAACTACACAAGAGTTGTTTAGTTAGGTTCAGGGGGTTGGGAAGCTCATCTTGTAACCGTAAGGTCGCCGGTTCGATCCCCCAGCTCTATCTGTCCTGGCCGTTGTGTCCTTGGGCAAGACACGCCTACTGGTGTTGCCAGAGGGGCCGATGGTGCGATGTGGCAGCCTCGCTTCTGTCAGTCTGTCCCAGGGCAGCTGTGGCTACACCTGTAGCCTCCACCAGTGTGTGAATGTGAGAGTGAATGAATAGTGGAATTGTAAAGGGCTTTGAGGGTCTCGAAAAGCGCTATATAAATGCAATCCATTATTATTAATTCTTTGGCCCATTTTGATATATAATTTTAAAACATGGCGTTTAGCTGCGACCGGGTGCTTCGTGCCATGCTTTGATGCTTGATTGATCTCTGAGTGACTGCAGGGACTCAAAGAAATCCAATTCAGACCATTTGGTTGCACTTGGCACCTCTGAGGCGAGGCGCCGATGGATGCAATATTACAGGGCATGGTAATGACCTGCATTCAGGCACAAGCAGATTTAATGGGAGGGGGGTGCTGATTCTGACAGCGACTGGGAGGGAAGCTGGTGATCACGGAAAGAATCAGATAAGAGGTTTGGAGAGCAGTTATTTGGTGAAAAACACAGTGTGATGTAGCTTTCAGGAACAGGTAATGGTGCTGTGAAGAAAGATGGGATCCTGACCGAGAGCACAGGGCGCACAGCTTACTGCAGCTTATTCAGAAGCAATGAGGCTGTCGGTTAACACTTCAGATGATAGAAAACACGCCATGGCGAGCTGTTTATCATAGCCCGCCGTTAGACTGGTATTATACAACTGCTGTTAGGCGTTATTAAGCAACACAAGTTTCTACCATGAGTGCAGCTCATTACACAGCAGAAAACAAAATTGTCACACTGATGAAAAATGTGAGGGCTCTGCAGTGTGGGGATGAGCTGTGTGTGAGCAGTGCAGACATCAGCAGGTTCACGGAGAGAGCTGCTCTCATACATCCTTACATGATTACTGTGGGATATTAGCATGCTAACACGTCAGCGCTGTTTATTCAGACGGTGCCGGCTCATAAGTTTCCTCAAGGTGCTGCATGATATGAGGTTCAACATCAGAGTCGTGCAGGACAGCTTTGACCTGATGATGCACTGCAGGAAATGTCAGAGAATCAACAATATTATTATGATTCATCCTCAGGAAACCATGAAGTTCATGGTAATCAGCTGATCACCAGCAGGGTCCATCCTTTGACGGACGCCAAAACAGTCGGCATGTCAGAGCACTCGGGTCTTAAACCACACAGTCCAAGAGTACCTGCGCTTATGAGGAAGTGAAAATAAATAAGACTGCAGTTCCTCAAATGCCCACTTGGGGCTGACTCCAGTGTTAAAACATGTTTACAGCCTGAGACAAAAGACTTTTAGTCTTAATGGATAGTTCAGTCAGGGTCCGGGTTTTTTGACCCAACATTTTGAGTTTTATGCATTTTTCGTATTATAATGGTCTTGTTTGTATAGTTTACACTTCAGTTAGTCCTGTTGATAGTGAGTTCTGTTTCCCTGTTTAGTTCTCGTCTGCCCAGTTTCATCCCGGGTCTGTGTTGGTTATGGCGTCGTGTCTTTAGTGTTGCGAGTCTGTCAAGTCCCCTGAGTTTAAGTCTCCCTCGTCTTTAGGTTAGTGTTTAGTTTTGTATCCCTTCCCCTTTGTGTTTGTACCTTTTCATCAGCCTCTAATAAACAGCTCACTTTCTTAAAATATAGTTTTGTTTCCAGGTGTCTGCATTTGGGTCCTCTTCCTCTCACCACACGATGAGCGAGGGCACCGTGTGATTACCTGGTGTTTTCATAATGTTCAGAACATTGAGTGTAGAAAGCTGTGACTTTTCACCCTAAATTACTTTGTAGTTTGCACTTTAGTTGCTCAGGTGTAAGGCCGTGTCCAAAGTTCTTCACATGTAGCTGAGGCTAGCATCCAACGCCGGCCCCCTGATGGGCATTAATGGTGTAGTTGTGTAAAAGTTGCAAAAAGAAGCACCTGAGACAAACCAGCAAAGACAAGTAGCTAATACGAGCAAAAACACACCTGGGACAATGAGCTGGTGCTAGTTGTTGCTAAGGCAACAGATATTAATCTTCTGTAAACCGGCTGATTCTCTGTTGATTCTCTGAAGTGAACTGTAGTTATAAAAGCTGTCAAAACTCTGCTGCTGGAGACTTTTAAACGTGTCAGATTGGACTAATTAAATGAATAAAACTGAGAAAATTAAATATATATTTTTAAATTCCAATGATGAAATCTCTGTGCTCTTCGTGCTTTGACTTTGATTATTGAGGGATGAGCCTGGTGTAATAACAGACACTCAAAACTCATGGCACGCTTCAACACAAGAACTTGGAACCAGTGTCTTACCTTCAGTTTATTTGGGTAAATGCAGAGTGAATTTTGATTGAAATCACACTAAAATAAGACATTATGGAGTGTTTTTTGCAGAACTTGGGGACTAACCGGGTGCAACTTTATTAAATGTCTTGATTGTAATAAATGAGCTGAAATTAACTCGCAGTTTAGAGTTCATTTGTTACGAGCATGATTAGTCTTCAGTTTGCTTTTTACCTACTAATCCACTGCTGGAAGACTTTCCCTGCTCTCATTACCTGCACTCCATCGGCCTTGGCTTCCCTTCTGTGTGTTGATGGACGGAGATAAGAGGAGGAAGAAAAGGAAAACTGTGAGAAAGAAACGGGTCTCTGATGGATTTAGCCGTCGATGCAGATGGATTGTTTAACAGTCACACCTGCAGCAGCTGTAATGTAACCTGGGGTTGCTTCATGTTCACAAAGAGTCTGA